GCAGCAGATCAGCACCACTGAAAGACATGTGTAAAGAAAAGGAGTCAACTGTTTGTCACACACAGTGCTATAGAAAGCTAGATGTCATTCAGCTAGGGCTTACATGTACTGTAATTGTTTGGCTGTCTCATAACTTTGAGCAACTGGTGACCCTATTATGAAGTTCCTTGTTTAGGCACTTCCTGTTATGGGGTCAACACTCTCCCAATTGTATTCCTGTGTTGTCACCCTGTCACTTACTCTCCTGGGTCAGAGTAGAAATGGCCATGCTGACCCACATTGCACAGGCATAGTCTACCATTCTCACAATCAAAAAGCTGGTCCAGAGCAATGATGTGCAGACAACAATGGAGCATGGAGTGCATGTAGTGGCTGAAGGAAATCAGCAGCATGGAAATGTAAATAAAGATGACAATAAAGTGAAAATATATATATGTAAAAAATGGCATTTGTTCATTATAAGCAGTGCTTTAGTAAATGGAACATCATTCAGTTAGGACTTACATCTACTTTACAGTCTGAGTGTTAGGGTTAGATATTCATTTTAACAGGTTTTTGTTCCGTTTCAGATTCCCTTCACGCTGCATGGGTTATTTTGAATAGATGCCTATTCATTTTGCATAGAATGCCAACACACCACATTGTACAATAAAAATTGACATTCAGCATTTTTTTCATCCCTAACTGTGCATTGCATGATATTGCAGCACAGATGCGTCACGGTGCAAGGTGCAACTTCAGAAGTGGATAAAGCAGTAGTAAACTCCTGTGCGCATGCGCGGGAGTGATGTCATTGTGGCTCTGGAGCCAGCAAACCCAGAAGGAAGACTGGGGGAAGACAGAAGACAAGTATCTATTCAATCTAAGGTAAGTATTTCATAGTACGATGCATACTAGCACATTATGCCATTACCTTGCAGGGGATTTTTTTTGTAACTGAAAAGCAGCAGTTTACAACAGCTTTAAAGCCCCAGCTAGGCAACAAGCATTTTCAAAGGAAGAGCCGCAATGACAGTCCATATGCTCTCTAACCAACAGGTTTACTTTAACCCCTTCACGCCGGTGCCTCCCGACCCTTTAAGGGTTTCAGAAGAAGGGAGGAAGGGTTTAGGGTCATGTGACCGCCATGACACACCGTCACGGCAGTCACATGATCAGGAAAGGTCCCGATCAAAAGAGGAGATCGGGACCTTTCCGTGAGTACAAGACATGTGTGTTGGGAGCACACAGGGCGTGCGCTCTCAGCACATATGTTCTTTTTTAATAGAATGCAAATGTGCGGCTGCTCGGCGTCTAGGCCCAGACTCCGGGAGACCGCACATTTGCGCTCTCAGCCGGCGTGAAGAGGTTAAGATTAGGAGTCAGAGGCAATCAATTTTTCGTTTATTTGACCATTGAAAGTCCTGCGCTGTACGTCACCTGGGCTGGGTTCAAATACTGAAACCTACCTTTTTTTTTTACTTCTGTTTGTTCTTTATCTTCCCTTTTTCTTAACTAAAGTCTGTGGAGACCTGCAAATGTAGTACATCACAAAATCCCACTCCAAGTAGGAATGCCTATCAGTGGTGGGCCTCCAAACTTGTACACTAGGCTCTCCTTTTCCCCATTGCTTCAGTTTGTTAGGAACAAGTAGTGCAAGTTAGTTGCAGTCAAATGCACTGCTCTATACACACTACAAATCCTATAGTCCATATTCCATCTCAGGAGCGAGAAGGTGGAGGTGACTATGCTCCTACATACACTGGGATCATGGAGAATGAACGTAACTATCCTCTAACAGGAAGTTGGATCATAGCATAAAAAAAGATATTTGGAGGAGGCTGAGACAGAGTTAAAACAGAACTCAGTTTCTTGTAAAAAAAAAAGAGCCAGCAGCTACAAAAACAGCCACTCACCGGCCCTAGGATCCAGCAGTGTCCTCACCGAAGCCAGGTTCACCAGCCGTTCCCTGGCGCTGGCATCTTAAGTGTAGGCACCCGGCTGTGACAGCTGGTGACTTCACAGCCAGGTGCCAACTGTGCATCCTCGAGTAGTGCTGCGTATTGTGAATGATTCCACAGCCCTCTGGGACCTGTCACACGTCTTCGGACTGCGGGGGGGAGAAGGAGAAATTACGCTTCCAGTCACCCAGGCGATTGCAGCAGAAGTGGAAGCGGGTACTTGTCAAAATCGGGTAACTGCTCCCTAAAGGTGCCAATCCTTAACAGAGAGCGGGGGATGAGGCCTTAAAGCGGAACTTGCCCTTTTGGGTGGAGCTCTGCTTTTAGAATACAGAGTTTAACATCACTTTAATGTGTCCCCAACCAAAACTGATATTTCTGATTATTCTCTGTGCTCAGTTCCCAGTTCTATAGATCTGCTCTGGCCATTATGAATGGTTCTCACCATCCCTGCTAGACGTTTTAGGTATTTTATATTAGACAATATACCTGGAGAAGCTAAAACGTACATAGGTTGGTGGGAACACTCAAAGGACAGAGCTGGAAATTATATCAGGGATATCTTGAAGTCGGAGCATCCAAGACATAAGAAGCAAGTATCCACCCATAACAAAAGTGTTACTTTAGGGTGCTTAGTAATATCAAAATAAAGTGCTAAATATCCAGATAAAGTGCTTAGTAAATCAATCTCATAGGAAATAATAAATAATAAACGACATTCCAATCAATGAATAAATAATTATTAATGTCCAGATAAAGGAATCAAAAATATAAAATAGTCCCAATAAATGTAAGTGATTCGGCTATGAACCAATATGAACTAATACATCTTGTTATCCCAGTGGCATATAAACAAATATTCCGGTGACGTGCGGGGTATGGTAAAAATGCACACTCACCTGATGCGTATTTTAAATGCACAATGAATTAATGTGTTGTAGTCAGCCAGAGGTCCCCTTTAAGGTGGGATGAAATACAGCCTGGTGTGGATATCCTACCCTTCTACTTTGAAGTTTACAGGCATAGATATGGTTCAGAACCACTGGCGAGGTTTCAACAAATGCAGGCTCGTCTCTCAATTAGAGACAAAGTGGATTTATGAGATGAGAACCTTAACCCCTACCGGCCACAATGTTGACATAGATATCAACTGTTTTATAGACAATAGCTGAATTTTTATCATTGTGTTTTATCTGGTACATTTATTTTTAATTTTTATTTTACTGCTCTTTAGTATTTCAATATATACATATATATATTTATTTATTATTTGTTTAATCACCATTTTTTAGTCACCATTTTCCATAGTATTCTATTCTATTTTTATGGTATTCTATTCTATTTTTGAATTTTTGCCAGTTTTTTAGTCTAGATTCATGTCAAATTATATGTTGTTTACAATTTACGTATGATCTCCCTATCTCATGGGGAGGTATATTATTATTCTATTTTTGGTATACCAATACATCTTGGGTTGTATATATTTTTTCCTATTTTACCAATATAGTCTTATTAAGGAGAGAATGTTGTTTACTTAACGCTTATACCTCTTTCGATATATATTTTTATTTTCATGCATTTTTATTTTTATTTGTTTTGATATTATTACATTTTTATCCACATCAATATTAGGGGATTTGCATATTTTATTCAGTTATTATGACCATACTTTATCCTTGTGTCTTTTATTTTAATATTTTTATGATAATATTAATGTATATTATCTTGTTTATGTACCCCGCACGTCACCGCCATACCCCGCACCTCACCGGAATATTTGTTTATATGCCACTGGGATAACAAGATTTATTAGTTCATATTCGAATCACTTACATTTATTGGGACTATTATATATTATGATTCCTTTATCTGGACATTAATAATTATTTATTCATTGATTGCAATGTTTTTATTATTTATTATTTCCTATGAGATTGATTTACTAAACACTTTATCTGGATATTTAGCACTTTATTTTGATATTACTAAGCACTTTATTTGGATATTATCCAGTTATTTATCCGGTCTTATTACAAGCGCTGCACTTTTACAATTTTACTAGTTATTTTAGAAGGTATATGGTTTTCTTTTTAGTGTACCAGCTGCTTCCGTTATTAAGCGCTTGCTGAGTCCTGCTTTATTTTACTTTAGGGTGGACTGATCATTTTAGTCTATAACCAGTTTAAGACTAAGCATGGGTATAAGATGACAGATGGATCCAGCAGCTCTGCATGGGCAAAGCACAGGTACCCTTTAAAGAGGAATTTCAACTGGAGATGTAAAAAAATAAAAGTCAAATACTATAGCTTCTGACTTTTATAAAACAGGTACTTACCAGACGATGGAATCCAGCACTGTCTTCTTTGCAGCCTATTCTTCTTAGCACTGCAGATTCCCACTGCCATCATCTTGGATTTGGGAGCCTAATGAATATGAGATGATTTGATATCAGCATGGAGCTGCATATTGATGTGGTTTTTTAGTGATGGGGGAAAGATCCACTTTTTATGTGAGCTGTCAAATCTACCAAATGATTTGTGATTCAGTTTCAACACTTAGGCTAGGTTCACACTGTAGGTTTGTGTGGACAGTGTAGCCCATTCATTTGAATGAGCTACTGTGCCTGTGTTTCTTGTAAAAGAAAGGTTCCCAATTTCCCTGCAGTTCCCTCACCTGAAAATGTGCCCAGGGTTTAGATGAAGGTTGAGAATGAAGGGCAGCACTGCGTGTCTCTAAAGAGCAGCATGTTTTAACTGAGGGTGGTTATGGGTGCCAAAACAGCTCTGATTCCCGCAACCACCCATTACAGTGTGAACCTAGCCTTATGCGAGGAGACACCACTGAGTCTCACCACTTTCTCTGCCAGTGTTAAGGACTGGGCTCAATTCAATTAACCACTTGGTAACTGCACTATAGCCGAATGATGGCTACAGTGCGTATACCCAGTCCTGGGAGGGCATCATATGACGTATACCCAGTCCTGGGAGGGCATCATATGACGTCCTCCCAGAAGGCGCCCTCCCACGCGAACCCGGCGTTATCCATGATTACTGATCATGGAGTACATACAGTTGCTGGTTATCGGTTGTTACACTGTGAGGAAAGCACTGCCGATAACTGGCAGCTGTCACAGAGCAGATCGGCAACAACAGTGCCCAGCAGTGCCTCCAACCAGTGCCGCTCAGCAGTGCTACCGATCAGTGCTCTTAGGCAGTGCCACCCATTAGTGACGCCCAACAGTGTCGCCCAACAGTGCCCATCATCGGTACTTCCTCTTCAATGCCCACCAGTACTGCCTCAACAGTGCCCATCAGTACTGCCTATCCATGCCACCTCATCAGTGCCCATCAGTCCTGCCTATCAGTGCAGCCTCATCAATGCACATCAGTGCAGGAGAAAAATTACCTGTTTGCAAAATTTTATAAAAGAAAAACTTTTTTTAAAAAATGTTTTGCTCTTTTTTTTGTTTATAGTGCAATAAATGAAAAAAAAAACAGTGACAATTAAATACTACCAAAAGAAAGCTCTATGTGTGTGAAAAAAATGATAAAAATTTCATATGGCTACAGTATTGCATGACCACGCAATTGTCATTCAAAGTGCGAAAGCGGTGAAAGTTGGCCTGGCCACAAATTGATAGGTGGCACTGACTGGCACTGATAGGTGACACTGAAAGGCAGCTCAGATGGGCACTATGTGGCATTGATGTGCACTGGTAGGCACTGATATGTGGCATTGATGTGGCAATGACAGTTGGCATTGATGGACACTGACAGGTGGCACTGCTGGGGCTACACTGATCATCAGTGCCCTGATGATCAGTGTACATGTCCCCTTTGAGGAATGCCGATTACCGGCTCTCCTCTGTCAGTATGACAGCTCATTAGGACAGAAATGCCGATAACCGGCATTTCCCTATTTACATGTGATCAACTGTGATTGGACACAGCTGATCACATGACCAAGCCAACATCTTCAGCTCTTTCCGTTGATCAGTGATCCGCTGTGTCCCAGGGACACAGTGCACCATCGATAGCTGCGCTGCGTGCCCCGGAGCCGTGCATGCACGGTTAGAGTGGGAGGACGTCATATGACATCTTCCCAGAACCAGAGAACCGCCTTGCGCCCGTCATTTCCTTATATGGCGGGCGGGAGGTGGTTAAAAAAAAGTGGAATTTCGCTCTTTCAATCAACATTGACTATTTTAAATCCTTATGCTGCTAGAATTAGTAAATATATAGGAAAGTATGTCATATTTGCTTGTTTTACACTGTTTTTTAACATTTCCCTAGGTACTTCCTGGTTTCCCTGCCTAGACAATGGATGTCATATATCCCAGAAGTCTTCAGGAGGGGAGGAATGTTTCTCAGCTAAGCACATATCCTCCTGCCTGTATGCCTGAGTTAAGGGCAGAAGGATGGAACTGCTACATGAATCATCTGCCCTTACTCGATAGCCACGCCAAGAAATGCTATGAGTTTTAAAGTGATTTCTCAAAATAAAGCATGGAGACATTGAGGGATGGGGGAGTTAGCTTTGATTACTAAAATGAAATAAATAGTATTTTTTTGGTTGGCAGTGCTCAGATACAGTGTAGTGCCACTTTAGGTTGCTATCAGATCTCTGGAGCTCCTAAGTAGAATTTCAGAACGAATACAGACTCTTATATAAGGTCAGTTGTGACTGGATTCCTGTAAAGAGAACCTGTCACCCGCCTGTAGGGTGCACTAGATGCCCATACACACATATATTATACTTTCCCATAACTCTCAGGTCTATACTTCCCAACACAAGTACTCTTAGCACAGGAAACCTCAAAACCCAGCACTCCTTCCTTCCGGCGCTTTCCTATAGTCTCCAACAAAATGGCCGCCTTCGTAGACCTTTGGTTGTTGTTTTTTCATAAGGAGATTATTCTCCAGAGCGCCAATGCCCACACTGATCCTCGGCGTGTTCACATTGGATGGGTACTCGGCGTCATCCGAGGTTCTGGTACCTGATTGGCTGACTATGTTACCTCCCTTCAGCTAGCTGCCTTGGGTTCTGAGGGTGTTGCGCGTGCCCGGGGCAGAGCTGAGCGGCGGCGCGCGTGCACGGAGGGCCCATGTCCGGTATGAGGAGGGTGTATGGGGGGCTTTCCTGGGTTGTGGAACTGCACTATGTATGATGGACAGGGACTACAACTCCCAGCATTGCTGCTTACTTTAGTCAGGGGCTCCTCAGGAACTGCCACTCAGGGACAGCCGGGGGCTATCAGCCATTACTGCCAGACAGGTCCTTGTAGATTCTGTCCAGGGACTACAACTCCCAGCATTACTGCCAGACAGGTCCATGTAGATTCTGTCCAGGGACTACAACTCCCAGCATTACTGACCAATCTATGTAGATTCTGTCCAGGGACTACAACTCCCAGCATTACTGACTGATCCATGTAGATTGTGTCCAGTGACTACAAATCCCAGCATTACTGACCGATCCATGTAGATTCTGTCCAGGGACTACAACTCCCAGCATTACTGACCGATCCATGTAGATTCTGTCCAGTGACTACAAATCCCAGCATTACTGACAAGTCCACGTAGATGCTGTCCAGGGACTACAACTCCCAGCATTACTGACAGGTCCATGTAGATTCTGTCCAGGGACTACAATTCCCAGCATTACTGACCGATCCATGTAGATTCTGTCCAGGGACTAAAACTCCCAGCATTACTGACCGATCCATGTTGATTCTGTCCAGTGACTACAACTCCCAGCATTACTGACAGGTCCATGTAGATGCTGTCCAGGGACTACAACTCCCAGCATTACTGACAGGTCCATGTAGATTCTGTCCAGGGACTAAAACTCCCAGCATTACTGACCGATCCATGTTGATTCTGTCCAGTGACTACAACTCCCAGCATTACTGACAGGTCCATGTAGATGCTGTCCAGGGACTACAACTCCCAGCATTACTGACAGGTCCATGTAGATGCTGTCCAGGGACTACAACTCCCAGCATTACTTACACAGGTCCATGTAGATGCTGTCCAGGGACTACAACTCCCAGCATTACTTACACAGGTCCATGTAGATGCTGTCCAGGGACTACAACTCCCAGCATTACTTACACAGGTCCATGTAGATGCTGTCCAGGGACAACAACTCCCAGCATTACTTACACAGGTCCATGTAGATTCTGTCCAGGGACTACAACTCCCAGCATTACTGACAGGTCCATATAGATGCTGTCCAGGGACTACAACTCCCAGCATTACTGACAGATCCATGAGATTCTGTCCAGGGACTACAACTCCCAGCATTACTGACAGGTCCATGTAGATGCTGTCCAGGGACTACAACTCCCAGCATTACTGACAGATCCATGTAGATTCTGTCCAGGGACTACAACGATCCAGTTGCTCGGGTGATATTGTAGCAGAAATGAATCATTATTAGAGATCAATAATGGCAGGGAGCGGTTTAGTCCCAGGAGTCTCTGATAATAGTTCAGCATTGGGTTGTGCTCTGCTAGAAATCTCTGTCCTTCTACAATTTGTTGCTTATCCACAGCGGTGAATGAAGAGCGATTGTCACTGGCGATTTTGCCCATGACCTGAAATGCTATTGAATCTCAATAAAAACTGCTTTAAAATGTAAGAGCGATTCCATAGAAAACCATCATGGATTTCCTAGCTAGACGCGGCTGCTCATGTTGTGGTAGGATGACAGCAGTGATAATACACTGCGCATGGTGGTTTTTTAATGCAAAATGTTACAAGGAGACGTTTAATTTAGGTCTTTTGGCGTGCTCCGAGGTGGTGGATTGCCTTGCACCGCACTAATGAAAATACTGCATGCCATACTTTAAGGGCACACCACAGCAATGTTTTATTATGAACTGGTCTGATCGGAAACACAGCATCTTGCAGTGCAGTCCCAATACACCTGGTGTGAATGAGCCCTAAAACAATATGGGGGAGGGGAGATAATTGCAATAGATCACCCATGTGACATCTTCTATACTGAAAAAATAAACAGTGGCTACCAGTCAGCATTCCAGTTCAAGTATGTTTATTTTGTATGCAAATAGAAGAGTGTTCTATGCATACACAATGACAGTTAAATGTTTAAAAAAATAACTGAACTGTCACTGTAAATAATACTGTACATGGAATTCTGGACAGTCTATTATTGGTGTGGACAACTGTCAATCAGCTGGAAAAATCTATACATTTTGGGTTAGTAGCACTGCCCCCAAGATGCCTTCATATCATTGGGGAGGAGCTTGCTTCTAGTCACTGACTTGTGATGTATGTGTTGCAATTGGCATGCTGCAGTACAGTCTAACTGCTTATTAACATTTTTGTTTAGGTTATGTACACTAAGTATGGGCACAGTGAAGAACTAGGATAACCATTGCTATTTCACTGCATACATTTTCTGGTAAGAATATTCTGTAGTAAGTTAGATTTCAGTCCATAGGTGTCACGGTGCCATTGCGCCGGGACCCGCAGGTGTCATGGTGCCATTGCGATGGGACCCGCAGGTGGCACTTTGATATTGTGTTGAGACCTCTAGGTGTTAGCATGCTAGTTTTATGTTGCCCCCAAATATCTGACCAAAGTATCCTGGCGCCCTCAAGGATTTGATGTCCTGGTGGCATCGGGTCTGCTCATCAATGTCCTGGTGCCCTCAGGGGCTTGCATGTCAACGTCCTGTTCCCACAGGGGTCTGCACATCAATGTCCTGGCGCTCTCAGTGGTCTGCATGACAATATCCTGGTGCTTTTGGGTCCATGTGCCAACTTCCTGGTGTTATCAGGGTTTCTGCTCATCAACATGCTGATATTCTCAGGGGTCCACATGTCAATGTCCTGCTGTCTTCAGGGTCTGCTTGTCAACATCTTGGTGCCATTAGGGGTCTGCTCATCAACGTCCTGGTATTCTCGGGTCTGCTCGTCAAGGTCCTGGCGCCCTCAGGAGTCTGCATGTCAAGGTCCTGGTGCCCTCGGGTCTGCATGTCAAGGTCCTGGTGCCTTCAGGGGTCTGCATGACAAGGTCCTGGTGCCTTCAGGGGTCTGCATGTCAAGGTCCTGGAGCCGTCAGGGGTCTGCATGTCAAGGTCCTGGAGCCGTCAGGGGTCTGCATGTCAAGGTCCTGGAGCCGTCAGGGGTCTGCATGTCAAGGTTCTGGAGCCGTCAGGGGTCTGCATGTCAAGGTTCTGGCGCCCTCAGGGGTCTGCATGTCAAGGTTCTGGCGCCCTCAGGGGGTCTGCATGTCAAGGTTCTGGCGCCCTCAGGGGTCTGCATGTCAAGGTCCTGGCGCCCTCAGGGGGTCTGCATGTCAAGGTCCTGGTGCCCTCAGGGGTCTGCATATCAACATCCTGGCGCCCTCAGGGGTCCACGCGCCAATGTCCTGGAAGCCTCAGCGGCACAGCAGTACAGTACTTGTTCAAACGTCAACAAGTTTCAGTTTTGTCCTGGTAGTTTACTCACAATGATACAGGTCTGTTGTTTACATTTGTTCCAGTTGTGCAACTTACCATAATATTAGGCAATCATGCATGTCAAGCAATATAGCCTTCATACCGCCAAGCTGTACCCATTTCTTTCACTGGCTGGCAGTGGCTCTTCTGCTTTTTGAGATGGGCATTGTCTTCCCCTTTGTGAGCAAAACCCATCTGGGGACTGTAATAGGATTGTTTTTATCCGGCTATGTCAAGTGTAGTTACTGGTAACATCTTACCATCCCACTGTGTTATTAGAACACAAGTCATATTGGCAGCACCAACCAGGGAACGTCAGGTTTTCTTGTTGCCCAGAGCAAGTGGCAGGCCTCACATGACCCCTATGTTTGGCTGTAAATGGAGGCAGCTGACAAACTCTCATGTGTCTTCTATTCCTTCCAATGCCCGATTTCCTGTTTTTGAATATTCAATCATTGTTTACTTTTATTGCCATCACCGTGATCTTATTTTCTTCTTTATCTTCTTCAGTTGTTTTTTTACGCATTTTTTTCTTTGAGAATGTGATCACTTAAATGATCTTATCAATTATATTTTAAAAGCTTTATCCTGTGCGTACTTTTTGGATGTATATATGCATATTGGGGGGGGTAGCAATTTTTCCTTATTGTTTATGCATGTTTTAGTTTCTATTGGTAGTGCTGCATAGTGATGGCTCTTTACTGCTCCTTTGCAAGTCTTTGGTCAGATCCGACCTGATAGAGCAATAGACTCTCTGTAAATCTAACTGAGTTTATCACCATATTCACTAAAGGGTATCTCTAGCCAAAACATATTATCTTAGATTTGGTTAGAAGGGAAAAGAGTTAGAACCACTGTTTTTTTTTTTTTTTTTTTTTTGCTGCCTGCCTCTGGTTTGCCATAAAGGTTGGAGTGGCAACCTCTGTGTGTCTGGTGCCAACTTAAAATATGAAAGCCTAGAGCAGGGGTCTCCAAACTTTTTAAACAAAGGGCCAGTTTACTGTCCTTCAGACTTTAGGAGGGCTGGACTGTGGCCAGTTGGAGTAGAAAAGGTCCTGAAGTCAGAAAAAGAAAAAAATAATGCCGTTATTTGGTGTCAGTCAAAGGAATTGTGCCCCATCATTGATGCCATTGGACACCATCATTGGTGTAATTGGGAGGAATTGTGCCCCATCACTGGTGTCATTGGAAGGCATTGTGCCCCCTTCATTGATGTAAATGGGGGAAATTATGCCCGATTGTTGGTATCAGTGGATGAAATGGTGCTCCAAGGGTCAGATAAAGGCAAGCAAAGGGCTGCATCTGGCCCCCGGGCCTCAGTTTGGAGACCACTGGCCTAGAGTATTTAGAAGAGTGCAGCAACAGGTGTGGGAGTCAAAAAAAAAAGAGTTAAAAGGCTTAGGCTCAGGAAGGGGAGTTCCTGAAAAAAAAAACAATGGGTGATATAACCTACCTACATAGATTAAATATCAGTTTTGACTGGATTGATCCTTTAATTCTCATACATAAGTGATGAAACTTGGAGAACTTGGTGGATGTTATTTCTGACCATGCGTTTTTACCTGTTTTTGTTTTCTTCAGGAGGCACCAGAGATGTGGGGATGATGGCTGAGGAATTGCCAAGTCTGGAGCAGCTCAGAGAAGAGGAGCAGCAGAGAGGTGAAGGATCCGAGGTTAAAGTCAAGTTAAAGCCAAACTTTTTTTTTTTTTTTTTTTTTTTTAGTTTTGGATGGAGTTAAAATCCATTGGGATTATTTTTTGCTGTCCCTTTTCCCATTACATTGATCCTCCTTCACTTTTCTGCTTCAGAAACACAATAGGAAGCACTGCTTGCATTAAAATTTCTAGTAAGAGGCTTAGGCACAGGATACTCATGACCGTTTCTAGGCACACAAGCGGAGCACCTTGATTTTTTTTTTATGCAACATATTGGGATTGTTTACTAAATCCTTTCATGAACTTTCTTTTTTGGGACTTTTTATTAATTTATTATTCACATTGTTACTTTATGTGACCATCGTTTATTCACTTATTTACGATTATGTATGATCTAGGGATTTATTATATTTGTTCACATTAATTCTTTGACATTTTAACACGTGTAATTTCTTTTATTGGACCAGTTTTGTATTGTTACGTGTAGATACAGTGAGTGCTGCTGTTTGGTAATTGTTGAGTGATTATGACACATTGTAGTTTGTGTAGTGATATGGCAGCGAGGGACATCCCTGGTTTTTTGCTTTCTTTTAATGGGGTTGCAAGCAAGAAAAAAAAAAATATAAAATACATTTTACATCTTACCCTCTACATCCAAAACAAACAAAAAAAATGCCTGGAGTTTGGCTTTAAGGTATTGAAGCCATTAGAATAGCATGCAGACCAGGCATCTAGTATTTTCAGAAGGACAAGTCTGTAATGGAAATCTCTCCATGCTGAGATGTATAACTAACTGGTTTTATTTTATTTCCAGTTCAAGAGGAAAAAAAGGAATCCAGTCACTTCTGTTGATCCACCTCTTCCATCTCCCCTTGTCTACACATTAAAGAAGGAGGACACCGATGGCCAACAAACAAGTTTGGCCCAAATTGAGGCCCGGGGTTTAACTCTTGCCTCCGACAAGCCGTGTCAGACTGTAAATGCACAAGATGGGGCAGCTCTTCTGCCTCAGGGCGTTTCTGAAGAAGCACACCACTGTTATTCTGTAGAGCCTGGAGAAGACCCCGAAGCAGTAGGCAATACTTCTCAAGAATCTTTAGACTCTAGTAGCAATTTTATTGCAGCTAAAGAGGATCAGTTTGTAAACACTCTGGAGCAATGCACTTTAATTGAGGAATGCTTGAAGAAAACACCTGATGGTCTCACTTTAAAAGATCATGAGGTGGGCAGTGTAGACAGTGACTCAGGTAGGGCAGACATACAAGAAGAATTAGAGCACATCTCCTCAGTAATGGGTGAGATGGACAGGGAAAATGGAATGCCTGGTAATGTGCTTGATGAGAACTTGCCACCACAGTCTGCACTAATTACCTCAGAAAGGAATTCAGAACTGGATGACATGTCCTCAGCAGATTATAACTTGAAAGAGTCTTATGATATTTCCATTGAGCGTTCTAGAGAACAATCAGTTGTGGATTCCGCTAATATAGGATTTGTTGAGGATCCAGAAGATGGAAATGTAGGTGCAGAATATGAGAGTGACCTCAAGGAACTAATTGATTCAGCTTCCACTGACATTAACTTAGAGAACTCTGGAGATTTCCAAGGCATTTCTTCAGTGGTCGAAACTGCTCCTGAGGTATCTCCACCTACTACCCCCATTCAGCGTGAAGAGGATGTCACTGCAGAGAGCTGGCGAACCAAACGGAGGCACGTCTTTGTCCTGAGTGAGGCGGGAAAGCCTATTTATTCACGCCATGGTAATGAGGAGGCCTTGTCTTCCACCATGGGTGTCATGATGGCGTTGGTCAGTTTTGTCCAGAGTGGCGATAACTCAATCCGGTCTATCCATTCAGGTAGGTGACAACCTTGACCGTATTTTTTAATCATCATTAAGGGAAACCTGTCAATTATTTTATGCTAAGTCTTGATTCTAAGACATCTTCCTCTTACTGTGGTTGGGTAGAGGCAGCAGTTATCCCACCTACAGGCATGCTGACACTTTTTAGTTTGAATGTTTGCCAGAAACCTTGCCTGATGATTGTTTGTGACAGTCTGCCCTTTATGTACAACGTTGCCTTGCCTCAATATGAATATATTTGATTAATATTATAATAATGTTTGGCATTCTTTAGATTAAAGAGTGAGCCAGCTGATTTTTCTCTCATGAGCAAAGCAAAGTTTACTATTTAAAGTGGTTGTAAACCCTTACCTATACTCAGGGAAGTGACTGGCCTCAAGCAATACACACAGATTAAACATAACCTACATAAGTTGTACTTCTTTATCTGCAGCCATTTGTCCTATCAATCACAGGCTGTTCCTTCCCCTGTCACCTTTTTAGTTCTTGTTGTCGAGAACTTTTCATAAGTAAGTCATACTGATAGCAGAGGAACTAGACAACAGTGAGAAATGACAGTGCTTTGGAGAGAAGCAAGTAAACACTATCAAAATGTTCTTTTTTCAGATTTCATGCAAGAGGTTTACAGCCACTTTAAGGCAGGCCTAAAGTCAATTATCCCACAATAATAAAATTAGGCCTCCTTGCTGTTAAATCTGATTTTGTCCTATGGTTGCTAATGTGACCATTTCTCTTGCTAGAGGATTTTTTGGGGGACCAGTGATAAGGTAGGTTTGGCAAGTCCATGGCTCTGCATGAAAGATCACTTGACACTAGGATTCTTCTCACTGGGGGTCAATTCACTAAGCAGTTAAATACCGCATGAGTTTTGCCTTAAAATAGCCCATGAGGTGTTCATTTCAAAAGTAGTCAATTCACATTGATATGTCACCTGTTTTAACCACTTCCAGTCCGGACACTTTTACCCCCTTCCTGACCAGGGCAATTTTCAGCTTTCAGCGCTATCACACTTTGAATGACAATTGCGCGTTCATGCAACACTGTACCCAATTGAATTTTTTACCATTTTTTTGAGACAGATAAAGCTTTATTTTGGTGGTATTTATTCACCGCTGGGATTTTTATTTTTTTTTGCTATGTAAATGAAAAAGTCAAAAAATTTTGAAAAGTGTTTTTTTTTTTTTTTAAATTTTGCAAATAAATAATATTTCATCATAAATCTTTGCCAAAATGTATTCCGTTATCTTTTTAGTAAAAAAAAATCCAAATTAGTTCATAACCAAAAATTATAATTTTTAAACATTTTTTTTTTTTTTTACATTTTTATTTTATTTTTTTATATTATTATTTTTTATTTATTTTTTTTTTACATACTGTCACCCTAGCAGTACAGTATCACCATGGTGACACTGTACTAGTGGGGGGTGATGAAGATTTTTTTTTTTTACACTGATTGCTTTTACACCCATATAGGATGTAAAAGCAATCATTTCTCTTTCTCTCTGTGTGCATTCTTGCACTCATTGAGAAGTACTGAGTGAGCTGTGATTGGTCACAGCTTGTCACATGGTACAAGGCTGTTGTGAATAGTCTTGTACCATGTGACCTGTGTGATCATTCACAGATTTCACACGTAGTAAGCAATGATGTCACAAGTGACATCTTGCTTACTACTTTGCATGTGATCACTGATTCGCCAATCAGTGATCACATGATCGGGACCTCGTACAGAGGTCCCGTCCGACGATCGGTGTTTCACTGTGTCCGGAGGACACAGCGGGCACCGGATCGCGGTGCTGCGCGCTCCCAGGGAGCGCACACAAGCAGGGTGCAGGGAGGCCATTTATAAACGGCCACCCGACCCTGCAGTGCCACCGTCCGGCCGTTTATATGCAACGGCCGGTCGGGAAGTGGTTAACCATGTAAAGCCTGCGCTGCCAGGCATTACCACATTTGTACAACCCTGTCTGGCTGCCTTTGCACTTAGTGTTCCTTCATGTACCAAATAATCTCCCTCTGGTACAATGTTACAAATAATTTACATTCCTGGACTAACAACCTTGCATTTTCACAAAAGATTTATTAACTCTTAGGCTGCATTCACACTTGTCAATTTTAAATTGTGGGCAGAATTTCTGCGATTCTACCCTCGATTCCAAGCTGCACTATAATCATGGTAAAATGCAACACGCATGATTAGGTGCCATTTGCTGAAAACTGCACTGCTCAAGGCTTGTCACCCAGAGAAGCTCCTGCTCCTTTTTGAGGGACAAGCTTTGCACAATGCGGTTTGCCATGTGATTTTGTCACATGACAATCGCAGCAAAACCGCTACGCGTTGAGGTGCCATTAAAAAGGAGTGCCTCCTAAACACTAGTGTTGCAATTGCAGTGCGATTTAGAATCGTGGGCAGAATTGTGGTGATTCTACCCAAAATTGAAAATCGCAAAGTGTGAATGCAGCCTTACTGGTCAGTGTAGAGTTTTGTCATTTTATACATTTTTAGGGCCCCATTCACATCTGAGAGGTTTGTAGTTTGTAAATCAAAGCCCAAAAAACGCTCAATGAGCTTTTGTATTCAATAGCTCTTGTTCATATCTGAGTGCCCTGTCACTTGAAGCTAAATTGCTGTCTCACCAAAAAGTATATGAGCTGCTTTTTAGGCAAAAAGTGAGCATTTTGTGGCCCCATAGATTTCAATGGGAATACCTGAAAACACTTGATTGGAGTGTTTTGTTCAGGCATTTTTCCAGGTGTTTTGGTTTTTTTTTTTTGCCTATATTAAATATTGTAAACCCATACCTATACCAAGTGAAGTGACTAGCATCAGGTGATACACAGAGATGAAACAAAGCCTCCTAAGTTGTACCTGTTTGTCTATTGCCATCTGCCCTCCCGTCACCATTTTTTTCTTAGTGAAAATGTCAGAAGTGACTCATGCTGATAGCAGAGGAACCAAGCAGCAGAGAGAAATGATACTTATTGCTATGTATTGAGACAGGTACACGCTAGAGAGATGTTTTGTTCATGTTTGAGGTTTATAACTACTTTAACTGATCTCCTTCCCCTAGTGATCTCCATTGGCTAAAACAGAAAGCTTGAAGAAATATGTGAAATGCCTGTAATACATGTTTAAAATCTCTTGTATACACTTGCAAAAAAAGCTCAAAGAAAAATTAAAAAATTGCTCTGCTCAGGTGTGAATGCAGTCTAAAATATTGAATGCCTGTAGCGTGAGATAAATAACTTTTTATTTATTTTAGTGAATTTATTTGTCGTTATTTTTCTCAGATATATATTTTTTTTTTTTCATGAGTTGGCTCTTAAGTTTTTTATCATGTGCAAATTTGGTACAAATTGGTCGCTAATACTACATGCCATAAACATTAGTGAATTGACCCCTGGTTGTGGCCATATGACACTCCAGCGCTTGTTGTGTAACCATGCAGCAGGAGCCTACAAAAGATTCCTTTTTAATACTATTTCTGTAATGTTTTCAGATAGGCATATCATTGAAAATAATACTGCTGTAGCATTTTCAGTAGGAAGGGTCAGCAATGAAGCTTTACATATTTCACCTACTATGAGTTTGTCAATATTGAGAGCATATATAGAGGAATATCTGTATGGAGCCACAAGATTGACTTTTGTTGTATCTTTTCACAGAGAATCAGAAAGTTGTCTTCCTGCAGCAGGGACCCCTTGTATTGGTGTCGGTATCCCGTTCCCGTCAGTCAGATGAGCAGCTAAGACGGGAGCTTCAGTATGTTTACTACCAGATTATTAGCATGTTAACTCAGGCCAGCGTAGCTCGAATTTTTGAAAAGAAGAAGAATTACGACCTGCGGCGTCTCCTTGTTGGGTCAGAGAAAATCCTGGACAGCTTGCTGGACTTGTTAGACACTGACCCCGGTTTTCTGTTGGGTGCTGTGCAATGCCTGGCCTTACCCAGCCCCCTCCGTGATTCCTTGAGCTCCATACTGACTAAGGCCATCACCACCAATCTGGTGTTTTCCATATTGGTGGCTGACCACCAGCTGGTCACTGTAGTACAGGAACGGGCTGTCATTGAGGACTGTCGCTTGGATCCTGCTGACCTTCATCTTCTACTGAACCTAATCGGGGCCTCCTCAGCCTTCCAAGCTGGTGAGATCTGGACTCCTATCTGCCTCCCACGCTTCAACCCTGATGGCTACTTTTATGCTTACATCTCCTACTTAGATCCACAGTGCACTGTGTGTTTGGTGCTGCTGTCCACTGATAAAGATTCCTTCTACGCCGTCTCTGATTGCAAGGCAAGGATACAGGAGGCCATGAACGTACACAACTCTTTGCAGGCTCTTGCTGGTGCGTTGCAATGCTGCTCATATAGTGCGTCTCTTGTGGGTGTGCCAGAACTATTGCACTTTATATACAAACCTCTGGACATCCCGGACACCTACCGACAACTTCCTCAGTTTACCAGGTACTCTACCAAACAGCTGTGACATGGCATGGGGAAAATAAGAAAGGTTAATGTAATCCTGTCATGAGATAAATATGATGTGCCATTGCCAAACTGCCACTTACACTACTTACACACATACTGAATCACAGCTTGTGAGCCAATGAGGGGATGGGGCCGTGCCATGGCTCTGTGTGTGAGTGGACACGCAGAGCAGTGGCTCAGGGAGCACGCATGCTCTGGTGCCCTATAGCAAGCTGATTGCTCTGGGGGCACTCGACAGGAGGGAGGCACCGGGGGGACCAGATAATAGAAGGATCGGGGCTGCTCTGCGCAAAACCACTGCACACAGAGCAGGAAATAGAAATAGTTTTTTTTTTTTTCTTGTAAAAATATTGCCTTTAAAGGATAAGTTCACCTTTCATAACATGTTTATACCTATATTCAGGGTGTAACATTGTAGAAAGCACTGCCCCTCCCTGCTTTGACAGCTAGCAGGGAAGCTTTCTTACCCCCCCACGCCCGCTAGCTATCAAATTTTTAAAAAACGTGGCTGTGCAGAGCTCCAGCCACATCACTTGTCTGTGAATGAGAAACTACAAGTCCTGTCAGCCGTGGCGGCTTGTAGTTATCAATGAATTACCATGGCGCTGTGGAGCACCATGATAGTTCATTGGATCTTCCTTTCAGTATATCTGCAATATCCCGTATGGGCAAGGAGATATGCTGACAGATCTACAGGAGACCTGCATGGCACCAGCAATATACTGATTGCTGGGGCAATGCTTTACAGGCTCCTGCAGCAAAAAATAATACATGTACATTGTTTTAACTTCAAGAAACTGCATTTGTTATTTTTTACCAAAAGGTGAACTTATCCTTTAATATCACTTTAAGTTACATTTTACATGTTCCGTATGCTTTTTATAGAGACAGTACCTGTCTTTTTGTGAGCATAGTCGGCTCCTCTTTCAAACTACTGCCATGACAAAAAGGAGGATGAGCTACGTGAAAATTGTATTGTTTTTTGTAACAAAGTATCACTAAACCACCCTGAGGTTCCAACAATGGCAATTGTTTTGTGAATCTTCTCTAAGCAAAGTAAATTGTGCTTATGAGACGCTAATGTGTGAGGTTATTTGTAAAATATTCACTGTTGGTAGAGCTAAATAAAAAGTTTGAGAAACACTTGAGTAACAATAATCGGCACCAAGATGAGGGTAGTGATAAAAGTCACTGTACGTTGGCATGAGCAGTGAGTATGTATGGTCAGTGTCCTAATGTACCAAATATTTCAAGCTCTAGGTCTGCTTATCCCATATAACAGATGTGCGTTACAAATATGTTTTGTCTAAATAAAAATTTAGATAGTTTACAAATGATGTTTTTCTACATATTTAATGGGGACAATCACCCAAAGGTGATAATTTCAGCTGAGGGGTAAAGCCTTTTTAATAACCCTTAGGGAATTTGTGATGAGATTTCTCTGTCTTAGTTCTTAGCTCTGCTGCTGACCATGTCAGGTGTTCCTACTCCTGTTGCATTCTTCAAGCTAATAGAAATGAAAACTAATTTGGGAGTGCCACATAATGGCTGAAGCAGGTCTGCAGGGCCAGAAACTCAGTCTGGTCTTCGGAGTTGCTGGGAGAAGTAAGAAGTTGCGGGGTGTTTAATTGTACAACATCTTCCAAAACCTGAAATATTCACTTTGTGTGAATGAGCCCTTGAATTATCCAACAGGTTATATTTTACAAAATACTGTGTGTCTCTCTACAGCCCTGAGCCTGATGGCCCATATTCCAGTGAGGAGGAGGAGAAGCAGAGATTGTTTGACCTCTACCGTTATCTTTATTGCCGCATCCACAGCTCAGCAAGACCACTGCGTCTGATTTACCACGTGGCAGAGAAAGAAACCATGCTAGCATGGGTAATTTCATTTCATATATTATGGGTTGTCAATTAGGTTAAAGCAAACTATATTCAAATGTTAAGATGAAGCCATGTTTAGAGTTTTGCTAGGTTCAGTGAACACAAAATAATAGAAGGGCTGAAATACTAACTTCCTTTGCAACTGCTTCTTCATATTCTCTTCAGGGGTTCTTTCATTACCAAAAACCTCACTGGTAGGTCACGTGAAGGAGAGCATCATTCAGTCTGAACTTTTATCTTCTCATTAACCACTTGACGTCCCAAGGCCATTTTTTAAAGTTCCTGGAACTCAAAGGGTTAAAAGAAGCTTACAGCGGCAGTAGGAGCTTGTTACCAATTTGTTTAGCCAGATCTTGGCTATCTAGGAAAAATTACCTGGGCAGCTGTAGAGCCACCTGATCACTGTTATGGGGCTGTGAGGGGGCAGCCCACCCATTACCCGCTGTGATTCCTGGCCTCTTCTGGTTCTCCGGGACCATGGTAAATGCTGCCAGGGTAGTTGTTCTCTGATCTCCTGTGCTATTAATGTACTTGTAATTGCCGCAACTGTCAGAATTTCTCGGTTTAGACTGTTGGAATCCTGGTTGCAATACCTGGTAAACAGCTTGATCAGCTGGAGTCGAGGACAGGATTGAATTGTGTAGATGACAGGTACTGTTTATGGAAACATTTAAGGCTAGTTCACACAGAACAGACTGATGTCGGAGAGGTAAACTACAGCAGTTTCCTCTCCGGCAGCAGCCCATTTTGGCTGCAGAAGGGGGGCGGTGTTCTGCAAGATTCAGTGCATCACAAAGTTTGTTTTTTTCTCCAATTAACTTTATTTGAAGTGTACGCGATGCTTGATTTTAACAGTTATCCAAAACCATTATATTCAAGGCATGCTGTGAATAACTGTCACAGTTGCTTGTATTTTCAAGCTATCAAATGGCTGGTGTCATGACTGATCCCATATGCTGCACCAAGACAACTGCAGACTGATCACAGGCTAAGATGGCAGTTTCCTTGGCTGTAAAAGTCCTGATTTAGCGCCTACTTAATAACCTGTGTGCTTTTAAAGCGGTATTAAACCCCAAACCAAAAATGTAATACATTTCATTTTACCAGTCATTAGATTAGAATTTTCTTTTCTTTAGGCTTTTTTTTTCTCCAGTTTTCACCTGGCGATCTGGCCAGTAACACATCACCTGTATTAGAGTGCCCTCACTCTGGTTGAAAGAACACCGGGGCACCATTGGATAACAGCATTGTCAGTCGGGGGAAGGAGAGTGTTAGATGTACTAGCTGATATAAATACACTAACAAATTGAACTCCAGCCAGTACTTTATAGACAATTGTAGTGACCCTTTTTTCTTTTTTAGTATAAAAGTTTTACATTAATATAAGCTGATTATTGTAAGCATGAGCCTGGTTATGAAGCAGCATATCAGCTCATAGGAAAGCAACTCAACATCAGTAGGGGTTATGAAACGGGGTCCAGGATCCAAATACTGACCATGCTGTCTAATCAGCAGGGACCAGAGGATGACGGGCTGCCCGTGGGCCCTCCGTTCCCTGCTGAATAACAGCATGGGTAGTGCTGGTATCCCAAGATGGCTGTCAGATGTTATGTCTCTCTCCATCCACTCCCATCCCTGGGATAAGACCTTCAAACTATTCCGGCTCCTGCTGAGTCCACATGTTTTCGGACCTTTGTCTACACCTCACCAGTACACAGGCAATGCTATGACCTATTATTATTTTCAGTGCAATATAATAAGTTTGGGTTTGGTTTAATACATTGCATTAAAGCATCATCTATAGAAAATTTTACAGTATTTATTTTTTGTCATCTTGCATGCAACTTTCAGGCTTGACATATTTGGTATCTCTTTACTCGATGGAACCTCACCTTTTATATTTTACCAAAATAACTGGATATTCTATTTTGTTTCTGTGCACTAAAATTCATTTTAGTGTATTCTTTCCTGAAAATATCTATTTGATAAATTGTTGCACAAATATCTTGAGACAGGAAAAATTGCAACTGCCATCATTTTATTTTGCAACGCCTCTGCTTTAAGAAAAAATATAGTTGCTTTGCAGTTCTGGCAAAGAGTGCAAAGTTTAAAGGAAAAGTATGGCTATACTTCTTCTATGGATCACAGGAGTTCAGTTTGTTCTGCACTCCTGTGACCCATTTTCAGCCAACAGCTGGTCCAGGCTCTGGAAAGATCCTGACCGTACGTTCGGGAACTGCCCAGAAGCCTACCTAGCAGCTAGCTCAACCTCTCTGTATGCTGCTGAGAGCTGAAGCCAGACGCTTCTGTCCCCTCCACAGCCCAGCACTCCTTTGTGTACAGGACGGGCAGAGCAGAGAGCCAGTGACTGACAGTCACTGGCTCTTTGCTCAATGAAGAATGAGAGTTGAGCACCAGTGGTCTTTGATTGTTCAGTTTTCAGCCTTAGAAGCAGCAGGGGACAGATGCAGCATCGGACCAATGCTGCACCCACCATACTTCTCTTTTAACATGTTCAAAAAACAGAAAAAAAATTGTGACCAGCCCTGTAGGGATTCTGGAGTAGGATTTTGTGTTCGGACGTACTTCAGCCCTTCTATCACTCTTTGTTTATATTTATCCACCCTAGCACTGTGGGACTCTAGAATAATGGGTAAGGAGTGAATGAAAAGACTTGCTCATTTTGGGGTTGATGTGACTGACATAGGTGCAAATGCATTTACTGTAAGATCAAACAATTAGAAGGACAAAGTTAATGGTTCTATCATTTCCTAATATTAACCACAATCTAAATTTGGACTGTTTAATACATACCATGCAATATATTAAACTTTCTATTTTCTGCATCCCCACATTACCCAGCAGTTCTTTTGCATACAGGGTTTGTAGTTCCACAACAAGTAGAAAACTGTGGGTTGAACAAGCTAGCTTTCTGTGGTTGGGACTGGTTATTGTTACACTTAGAGCTTGTGTTTGTTGCCTCCTGCAGGTCACCAGCAAATTTGAACTGTATACAACGTTCAGCTCCTTAGTGACTAAAGTGGGTGCCATTAATGTTATCACCAAACTTCTCCGTTGGATCAAGAGAGAGGAAGACCGCCTATTCATAAGATATCCACCAAAATATTCCACGACTCCTCTACCCGGGAAAGGTGGGAAAGCAAGCCGAACAGATAGGACTGACCCTTCCCAGAATGGCTTCTTCACTGGACTTTAGCGAGTAAGAAACCGTTTTTGTTCAGGAGGACCAGCAAGGATATTGACCCTGGTTGTGTTATGTAGTGTCACCCATACACTGAGACTCTCCCATTGCGGCACAGATGGACTGGGGTGCTCAGTAGTTTTCTAGATGGCATAACTTTTGCAGCAGAAGGGTCACTTCATGCAAAGCTAATCTATGGGTGAGGTTTGTAGTGTTGAACTGCCCCTTCTGGATCTTGTATCACTTTGGGACTTTAGGATCCTGTCTCCAGCTTTCGCTACTTCACCCCATTCTCAGAGTCTAACTCATTAAATTACATCCTCCATAGATAATTAACAATTTGGATAGGTAGACTGAGACAAAAAATACACAATACTGCTCTAGGTCGGTGAACCTTTATCTGCTTTGATACCAGATGCTAGTCCAGCTTGTAACTAAAGTAGTTATGAAGAAAATTGTGGATGACTGCACTCCTGTAAAAACAACTTCTTTATTTTTGTACATCCATAAAAACAAATACACTAAAGCAGGAGTGGTGAGACTGTTAATGCTGGAGCACACATAATCACTGTTTAGGCACTCCATAGTGTGAAACGAGTTAGTCTCACTTCTTCTGCTGTAGTGTATTTCTTTTACAAATGTACTACAATAAGAAGTTTTTTTTTTTTTTTTTTTTTTTTATTTGGTGAAAAAAAAAAAAAACAGAGTGCAGTTATCCACAGTTTCTGCCAAATAGAGCAACACCTTCATTGTAATGATAGCAACAGTTAGGCAGAGCTGAGAGGTATTATGGCTCTTGAGTACTCCAGCAGTGGGACCTTCAAGCTGGAGATTCCAGACCCCCATGCTCTTCAAGATTGCAGCTTATTCAATCTGCTGTATTCTGTAGCATGTAAACTGCATGAAAATCCAACAGAGAAAGCAGTAATGGCTGTGCAGGATGGGCAAAACTAAGAAGGTGGGGACTTATTCAACTCATCTGCATCCACCCAAAGCCAAAATAACCATTTTACACAGACTGACTTTTTAAACCAGGACATATAGAAGGTCAGTTACCCATTCTGGTTTATCGCAATGTGTTTTCTCTTCTCTAAGATAATTCTCAGAATAAAGCTGCTCCAGATACCACTATCTTTCTTGTTTTATTGACCTCATTTACAACATGCATATAGTCCACGCTGACACAGTGTCTGTCATAACATGGCTGCCAGGTCTTCCCGGTGCTCTAGAAGTAGATCAAACAGCCGTCCAATGGTAGCGTCTTTCCTCACCTGCTTAGAAGGGGTTTTAAAACAACATGAGAATACAGTACAGTGTAATTCAAGCCCAATTTTTTTGGGGGGGGGTAGATTTGAGAAGGGTTATTAGCACTCCTGTCAGGATCTCCAATGGGGAGAGAGACCCCTGTCACCAAAGCAGGGAGTGAAGGGGCAGAGAAAGAGATAAAAGTTTGACAGAGGCTCTAAACTTTCCCCGCTATGTTTAAAACAACACATTTT